AAACTGTATCCTTAATAGGGAAAGGAATAATTCAATACTAATTACGTGAATGCATCAATTTTACGCTTACAACAACATGTCGCAGCATATTTCTAACACGCCGTGATGTACGTCCTAAAAAGTTAGGAGGCTTTGATCGATGTTGTTGAATTTCCAATAGGCCCGGATCGACGTCATTTGCCAACGTTTCAGTCAACTCGAAATCAGAAGCTGTCCCAAATAACTGCAACGATAGCAACAAAATTTCAATTAAGAGGGAAAAAAAGAAATTGACAAACACACAATGATTACTTTAAAAAATTCAAAAATAATTCTCGTACAGTTCTTGATGAACAGAGATTGATTATACGAATCAATCAATAATTTTATCGTAACGTAAGCGCAAATCTTTTTTAAAGTTACCTCATTAACTATGAAATGAATGAAAAAAAAGGAAATAAATTGCGAACATTGAACAGAAATGCTTTCTCCCATTCAGCCAAAATGACGCGATATGTGGCGGGGGTTGTTGATGTGCCACCTTCAAAGGCTACCGCATCATATAACACCGGGAATAATTGATAAGCTCGTAGAACGATCACTCGATCATATCGCTTTCTCCATGCTTCCTTCAATGGATTATCAGTTCATTGTAATACTGTTATCATAACACATCAAATTATGCAACAGATTGATCCATTTCAAGTATTGATAAGAAAAAAGAAGGAATTCATTCTACTAATAGAGCATCGCAATATTTGATGTGTAAATATTTATGCATATTAAACGAATAAAGAGATAAGCAAATCTAAAATGCATAATTAGATTTTCAGCTTATCGAAAATTAATTTTTTTTTCTCAATTTGCAAAATCTTTTGAACTTTTGCTTCGTTTTTTAATTGAAATATCGTAGAACAAACATGAAATATTTCATCACGCTGAGCGTATCGAAGAGCATATCGAGAAACCCAGAAAGCTATTTCTGCCAATCCCGAATTGCGTATCCGATGAGTGACATTTCTGGGGAAAGCTTTTCGGCACCATCGACACTTGTGAGTAATACGATTTAACCCGTTACCTTGCAAACTTTTACGTAACAGTGCGTGAACTGTATCACGTAAATCAACTATAGCTTCTTTGCACTTTATCTGTAAAATGCTTGCGGGTTCACGTAATGTGAAAATATAAGTGCTCATATCTCACGTATGTAACTCAGATAAGATGATTTTTCAGAACAAATTGTCTACTTGTTCACTTATTACTTCTGATTTCTTCAATTGCAACTTTTAATATCGTTACATATGTCATACTTTAGCTATACGCTTTTCCATCACAAATTTTCCGTCATCTTTACGGAGTATTTTAAGTGTACCAGCTAGAACAAAGAATGCTTGGTTAAACATTTAAAACTGTAACAAATGTCAGATGATCATATAATCGCTTGAAAATATCAAAGGATAAAAAAGAAAAATATGATAAATTCGTTGTCTAATTCAAAATGCAATTTTCATTTCATTCTTCATTTTATTTTCAATATTCAATGATTAATTTTGCTTTCCATTTCGAAACCATTTAATGTTAACAAATTAAAATACTAACATGCATTGCAACCGATACTTTCACGAGTAGCCGTATGAACAGTAATACAGCTTCCGTCACCAAAATTATCTAAAATACCTTCCGGAATTACCTGATGTCCACGAATTAATATATGAACATTTAGTGCTCGAAGTACAGCATGTAGCGCTTCTCGGTTGAAACTGTAACAGCAACCGCGTTCGCTTAAATCAAATGGTCTGAAATGCTAATTGGAGTTTATTTTATAGCTAACCGCTGAAATTTATCAATTCATCGGGAAGAAAAAATGTTGAAAGAAAATGGCTAACACTTTTTGGTTTGGTTTTGGATCCGACCAAAGCATGTCAGTGACAACGCAGCCTTCTAAAATTTTCATATTACTCAAATCGGTTGGTCGCGGAATATTCGCTATATTAGCACGACAAGTCATCCATTGCGACACACCCGCGTGACAAAAGAAGAAATAATCTGAAATCAATTTCATTTCATACACATTCATAAGTTAATTAAATGAAGCATAATAATTAATCAATCAATTGATCAATTTTGCCATCTTCCAATATTATATTCTACCAAAAGCAAAATGAATCCTATAATTTTAGGTGTTAATTAGAAGTATGAGAATGTGCGGAATTATCAATTCCATCTTCAATTATTCCGATAACTTTTCAACAAGCATCAAAGTAAGATTAACCCGAAACAATTGCTGCTAATGGAAAATAATCGAATAATTGATTAATGTAAACAAATATGACCGGATCGTCGTAATCCATCAAGCACTGCAAACCGTTTTTTTGTCTTCCATTTTTTGAACAGTAATTTTCAAACTTTATTTGCCTCATATAATTACGATTCTTAAAGTTGCATATAAGTTACATGACCTCATAACAAATAATTGTTTAGTGAAAACCTGATTTTTGAAATCATGTTTCGTAAGATCATATAATTCATGATTTCCACGTAATAAGTATACATATTCTGGCCAGCGCAATTTCATCAATAAAATGAACAACAAAACTTCATTTTGCATTGGGCCACGATCAAGAAAATCTCCTAAAACATTTCACTATCAATTGCTCATTCCAAAAGGAAACGAAAAAAAAATCTCACACAATGCGCTATAAATAATTTATATATTTTTAAAATTTAACATTTGATTTAATTTTTAGAAATTTTTAGCAAATTTAAAATATTACACCAATAAGTCTATGATTCATTCAGTTTTTCCTACTTTCTAATAAAAGAACAGAAAAGCTCTATTTTGGTTCAATTGTGAAGGGGAAATTGTCGGTGAAAGTAACCGATCGGATCGGATACCAAGAAAAAGGTAGGTGACATCAGGTGGAAATCCGTAAAATTCCAATGCTTTCAGCAAGCAGAATGCATCGCCGTGTAAGTCACCAATTACGACAAGTCCGTTTTCCGGTAACGGAAATTGCAGTAATGTTGGCTCATCGGCGAAAGCAGTTAAACATCCGTGAATTATCTGAAAAATTTGTTTAAAAAAATAGGGAGCTGCTTCTATTAGTTCAACAAATACATTGTCTTACTGTTTGAAGAAATTAATTAAAAAGCAGGCTTTTTAATTTTCTAATTTTCTATTTACATCCAAAAATTGCTAACTTTTTTACTTAAATATAATGTAAGGAGTAATTTTTTTATTCAAGTCTGATATAATGATATTAAACGATTGCCGAAAAAACTTCATTAGTATTGTCAATAATGTTTTTTTGAATAATCGTTCAATATGATTTAATTATTATGAATAAAAATGCTTTTCAATTCGTTCAATTCTTTTTTTAGTCGCATTTAATTAGATTTTTAATTGAAATAATTCATCCATCAATCTTTTTTGGAAATATTTGAAAAAGTTTCTTTCAATAGAATCGAGTTATCAGCTCAAATTTGCTGAAATTTTGACACTAAAAGTTTTTAAGAATGCGTTAGAAATTTGGAAAATACGTTTTCTTAATATTATGTGTTAAACAGCGATTAAAATTTCAAATATTTCTAGAAATGTAGTTAATTTTGCTACATTTCTATTCAGTACTTAATAGTAACATGCAATAATGTAAAAAAAAGCTTAAAAAAATTTTTAAATTATAGCGATTTAATTAAACTTAGATTTATTGGGTAACGTTAATTATATAATGTTAATTAACTACGATGCAGTTGTTCAAATAGATTACTGTAATTGTGAGTGTAAGAGTGACCTCAATAATTTCATGATTTTCAAAAACCGTATGGATTCTATCCGTTCCGGATATCAATTTCATCACTCGAGACATATAATTCTCCAACGTTTCCTGTTTACACGGACGTTTCGGGCAGCGAAGTGAACACATACGTGTGATATTTCATGCAATTTTCGGATGATGAAAAATATGATCGTACTGGCAACATTCTTCCTTATTAGCT